CCCCCCCCGTCCCCCGCACTCCAACTCCCTGCTCCAGCCCGCAGCCCCCTCCTGCACCCTGAACTCATTTCTGGCCCCACCCCAGAGCCCGCATTCATCGCCTGTCATACAATTTCCATACCCAGATGTGGCCCTTGGGCCAAAAAGTTTGCCCATCCCTGCTCTACACTTGCCCTCTCAGATTTTGGAAAGCTCTTCAGATTCTCAAACCTTAGGTTGAGTGCTGTAACTCTCTTTAGAAATCTCACATTGGTACCTTCTTTGCGTTTTGTCAAATCCATAGTGAAAGTGTTCTTAAAACTAACAGCGTGTGCTGGTCATCATCCAAGACTGCTATAAAATGAAATATATGGCAGAATGTGGGTAAAACAGAGCAGGAGATATACAATTCTCTCCGAAGGAGTTCAGTTACAAATTTAATTAACTCATTATTTTTTAACGAGTGTTATAAGCCTGGATGCGCCATACTATCCCAGCTAAATGTGTACTACATTTAGTTGAGCATACTGTATAAAAAAGAATTTGATATTCAGATGTGCTCAAAGAACAAATTGTTATAAACATCAAGGTCTCATCCAACATAAATATGTTTGCCTATGTGTGAGTATTCAGTGATTACAATTATATGACCTATTATTATCATCGTTGTTGTTGTCTAGTATTTTTATAAATTACTGTAATTTATATTTACTCTGTGTTATATGAATAAGGTAATAGAGTATTTGCTTTATGAAATCTAAGTATTAAGAATGTGGTAGAAGCAAATTACACATGTAAATTACAATAAAAATGCTATTGAGCCAGATCAAATTATTTGATATTCAGATGTGCTCAAATAACCTGCATTTGTTTAAGTTTGTCTTTTTTGTCTTAGGAAAATGAAAAGTTATACAAGCAAATGAAAGAACTCCAGATACAAAACAAGAAAAATGAGGAAAGGATGTTTAAGGAAAATCAACATTTAACATCTGAGTTAGCGTCTTTAAGGTGAGTATGTTTAAACTTCTAACCTAAAGACATGTAAATTCAGAGTTAGTCTGAGGGCTTGTGTGTTAGTCTGCACTAGTGAGGTATAAGTTTGTCTACACTAGTATTTTGTGCACTAACTGGCCCATGTGGACCTTGCTGGTGTGCACTTAAAATTCCTACTGTACATGAACATAACACTATCTGAAACGGGACAACATTAACATGCACTAGAGAACTTTTAGTGCACACCAGGGTCCGCACAGGCCAGTTAGTCTGCACCAGCATATCATACACTAACTCACCATGTAGAAAGAACAGGAGTACTTGTGGCACCTTAGAGACTAACAAATTTATTAGAGCATAAGCTTTCGTGGACTACAGCCCACTTCTTCGGATGCATACAGAGAAGTGGGCTGTAGTCCACGAAAGCTTATGCGCTAATAAATTTGTTAGTCTCTAAGGTGCCACAAGTACTCCTGTTCTTTTTGCGGTTACAGACTAACACGGCTGCTACTCTGAAACCTGTCACCATGTAGACAAGCCTTCAGTAAGCAGAACCATAAAAACAGAACTAGCAAGCCTGTCGGATATCCTGTTGTTCGGTTTGTTTTGTCATAGATGCTGATAGGTGACTGATGAGCTCCTATTCCACTGAAATTGGGAGGGGTGGAAGAAGTGTCCAAATTTGGTTCTTACCCTTCCCTTTTCTCTTAGAGATCTACTGGATAAATAGGGCTTGTAGCTTAGATGCTTGTATTCTAAATCTCAAGAGTGAATGTTTGTTCATACACAGAATTAAGTGAAGGCCTGGGGGAGAGCATGCCTTTTTGTAGTATAATTTTATTTGCCATGTTAAAATGTGTTTGATTATTATTATTATGCATAAGTATTCTCATAAGATGAAATTCACCAAGCAGCTCAGGTCACGGAAGGCCCCAGTACAAAGGAATCACTGTGCTGAGGGATGAGTGCCTGAGCCGTGGTTATATAGGGGGAATCTCCCCCTCTGTAAAACTGGGATCTGTGTCTGTAACAGATAGAGGGTCAGCAACCATGCAAATCCAGTATTTATAAATCTTTGTATAGGAGCTCACAGCTGAGCTTAATTCATGGGGAGTAGATTCTATCCCCAGACTTGCATGTAGTTTTCCTAAGCAAAGATTGCTTACTTGGAGTTTATGGGTCTATCTACACTGCCAAAAAAAAATAACACATCACCGAGTCTTGGGAGTCCAGGTCTCCAGACTTGGGTTCATGCTGAAGCGCTGCCAATAGCTGTGTAGACATTCCTGCTTCAGTTGGAGCTCAAGGTCTCAAACTTGGGAGGAGGGGTGGATTTCAGAACTTGAGCTCCAACCCAGGCGGGAACATCTACATGGCTTTATTTAGTATGAGCCCAAGTCTGTTGACCCGGGCTCTGAGACTCACTACTGCAGTGGATTTTTTTTGTTTGGTTTTTTTTGGTTTGTTTTTTTTATAGCAGTGTAGACATAGTGGCTTGTGCCGGAAAGGGGTAGATGTCACCTTTACTGATTTTGATCATATAATGACTTGTTATCATCTTCTGTTTTATTTAAAATCTTTGCAATTATCATTGTGACTGGTGCCTGGGATGGGCCACACTGAGAATACCACACTCAGGGCAGACTGCAAGAAATAGACCAGACAGTCCCTCAAAAACTGGTGGTTAACTCTATAATTAGATTCACCAAACCAGTAACAAAAGAACTTCTGCAGTACCACACTGGTTAACCAGAAGCCAAACACAGTCCCCTTTAGGCATTCCAGCCCTTGGTTCCCGTCCAGTCAATCCAGTCTAATATAGTGAGAGGTTATTGAAACCCCATTTCACCATATGTGAGGTTCTTCCTAATCCCAATGGATCAGAGACACATCCCAGGTCACTATAAATTTCAGATCTTACCCAAATATCGCGCTGTCAGCCAATCCTTAGTAAACTAACTAAAGGTTTATTAATAAAAGAAAAGAAGGGTGTTATAAATGGTTAATAAATCATACACATACAAATGATTGCCAAGTCCTTATATCAGTATGTAGCAGTGATGAATAGACTGCTGGCGTGTAAAGTCTCTCTAGAAACTTCCAAAAGATTGGAAGGTCCTCAGTTCATAGTTCAAAAGGCTCCTTTTAGTTGTAAATCCACAGTCCAGAGAATTAGAGCAGAAAAGAGGCAACATGGAGGTGTCTCAGAGGTCTTTTATTTCTTTTGCCATGTGAATGGAAGTCCCAAACAAAGCCCACAGCACCTGTATGTGGAAAATTACTGGCCCAAGATGGAGCCCAGGGTCATATGAGCATATCACATGCCCTTACATGTTTTACGGAATCACCAGGGTGTGGTCATTGACTCCTTGCTGTCTGAGGCATCCTCAGGAAGAGCCATCTGGACAGGATGAGTTTCTTCAGTGGTCCATTGTGAGAGCAGAATGTCCTTGATAGGCCATCAACACACAGCTGTCTAGCCCTAATGTAAATTCTATCTGGGGAGTGACACCCAGGAATACAACACATGTGTAAGATGTAGGTACGTAGCCAGTCTTCATAAATTCAGATACAAAGATATGATACATGCATGTAAACAAGATAACCATACTTAGAAAATCTTAACTTTTCCATTGACATCTCACATGGCATTTTTTGTACAGGATTTGTTGCAATTGTATAACAGTGGTAGCAACAATAATAAAAATGGTCATCTTTATTATACACAGCATCACAATCATCAAGTTAGCATTTATGAAGATGGATGGGTTGGTGTCTGATATCCCAGGAGTAATTTTGGGCTTTGTGTTTTACCTATTTATTTCAATGCTTATTCTTCTTTTTTTTTTTTAATGCTCTAAAAGAAATATTTGCCTGAATTTGTAGAGATGATCCATTCAGATGGAAACCACTGAACGTGTTAATGAAGAGAAAGTTACATAAAATCACCAAACTGCATAACATTGTCTTTTGTCATTGTTACATTAGAGAACAGATGGATAAAAATAACTTCCTGTCACGATTAGAGCAGGATTCTAAGCCATCAAGAAACCAGAGTTTCACAGAACTGATTTCAGAACTTCGAGTAGCACAGGTAAGTGGATTTTTTGTTCCAGAAGTTTATGCCTGTTTAAATATTAACCTCCATGTAAAATAAATATATCCATTGATACCATAGACTTATTGTGTAAAGTAAAATTGGAAATTTTGTAGCATATTTCTGTATATTAAAATGATGTACCATTTATAGTATTTATTAAAAACCTGTCTTGTTTTAGTACTTGAAAATAGCATGAATGAATAATCAATTGAACCCACAAAACTAGCCTCCAAAGATGCCTTTAGCCACTGTCATCTCTTGTGGGGCTTCAGTGGTTATTCTGAAATGTTCTATGAGAATGATGGCAGCCAGCAGGGTGATATGCTGACATTTACAGGTGCACATTTAGTTGAGACACCGATAAAGAACACATGTTAGTCTCAGGCAAGTTTAGTGTAGTGTTTAAGGAGTGTTTTTCAGTTGGGTTCTAGATGATAGCTGGTGGGCAGATCCTTAAGGGTGCCTTTGCCAGTTCAGAATTTTGAACCGTTTCTATATTCTGCAAGGGAAGAGTTTTTGCTCTTGTGATAGGTAGGTAGCCAAAGATGTCATCTCTGAGAAAATAAATTTATAGACACCGGATACCCTCTGGATTTTCCAAAATCCTATTATTTGAACCTTTGCTTTATCCCTTCCTTGTCCACCAATACAGCAGAGACCTCTGGCCAGAAGGGAGTCCATCCTGCTGCTAAATAACTCCTGCAGCAGCGCAGGAAGCCTTCTGCAGTCCTGCTGTCATGGGAGTGGGGCCGTGACAGCAGAGATGCAGAGAGCTCCCTGCACAGCCACAGGACAGCTGTGGTCCCGACAGGGCAGAGCCTAGTCCCAGCTGGGGTTCTCTGCTGTGCTCTGCCAGGACCACAATGCCCCTGCATCCCTGACATCTTGTGCCTGCAATAATCAAGAAGGCAGAAAGAGCAGCCCAGGAAGCCCTCTGCAGCCCTGGGAGGGGGTGAGCGAGCAAGGCCATGACAGCAGTGCTGCAGAGAGCTCCCTGCACTGCCACTCCTGTTCTCTCGATTATCCATACTCTCCATTATCTGAATAAAATCCATGTCCCCCATGCGATTCGTGTAATCGACAGTATACTGGAATGAGGGCAGATCTCCCATTTTAAATATGGAGAAGGTGAGGCAGGAAGATTGTCACTTTCTCAAAGCAAAGGAGGGAATGAGTCTCTCTGTCAGGTAGTCAGTGTGTGAGGCCACATCTCACTCAAAGGGAAAGACCTGGCATCTTGGAAGAAAACCAGTAGGTTGTAGAAAGAACCATATCCAGCCAGTAAGTGTGCATAGATCTCACAAGGCGGCGTGTGGATTTCTGAGAAACCTTCCTTCTCATTTGTTTCCCTTTGGACTTGGGAAAGCAGGAGACCTAGAAGCAAATTGTTGGTTTGAAAGGGCTCCAAGAAGGCATAGCCAGAGTAAGGCTAAAGGTTAGTGCTCACTGATACAAATGAACTAGACTAAAGTTTGGGAATGGGTTTATGTTCTTGATAAATGTAAACTTAAATTTTTCCATTGTGCCTAGACTAAAAGAGTTTTTTCTTTAACTGTGGTCTACTTACAAACTGAATCTGGATTGTTTGGCTTCTAAGACTGATTTAATAAGAGCCTGTTATGTTATAAGAGACCTCAGATTCAGCCTGTATTGTGTGACTAACTTCATATAGTCTTCCTGCATCGTAGAAAGGATACTATCCAACATAGACAATCACATTGGCTGCTAAGGGACCAGTGCAACAGCTGTGATTCATCTTATGATGGAAAAACACCTGTTACTTTTTTTTTTTTTTTTTGTTTAGTAAAC